TATATATATATTACAATTTTATTACAGCAGTAATTTGTTGTATTAGTAATATCATATGATCAAACTTAGAGAATGACATTTAATACAACAGTAAATAATAAAGAAATCCATAAAGAATATCAATATAAAGAATGGTTACAAAATAATGAATAATGCCTACTTACCATCCGCCCTATCTACATCGAATAAAAAACCTTCTTTAGGATCATATTTGCCGAAGAATATTGCTTCTTCTTTTTGTTGTGGATTATCCCAGAGAATATCTATGTATTTCCATTCGTAATTGAGAAGCAATTTACCGAAACTTGTAATTATCATCGACAGAAATAATATAGCAAACAAAAAATGTTTCATTTTTTTCGTACTGTATAGTCAGGTATATGCGCAATAATATGTATAGTTAAACTGAGCTATAAGAAATACGTATTTCGTGAAAGCGGATATATAAATGAGACTTATTTTGGCAAGTATGATATTATATATTCGTATTTATGATATTATATATTCGCATTATAATGTATATGAAAATTCAAAACTATTTCCTCATTTAGCTTATCTGATAAACAATTGCAACCTAATTGTAAGTTAAACTCAGAATTGATATTTACATTCATTTCATAAGAGATACATACATTATATCTAACGCATTTACATAATACATTTACATACATGTATTCTCTCACATATTCTAGTCATTGATAATATATCTAGAACATTTAGTGAATATATGTATAATCAGTTGATATAACTATTACACATAATATATGTATAGAATTTGATATTTTATCAAATAACATAATAAATTATATTGAGGATTCGTTTAATTTGTTTCTATATTTTTATTAATCATCAGGAGATAGGCGTTTTACGCTAAGATCGGCGTAGCGATATGTCAGCGTGAGACCGGCTGTGTATCTTTACGCCGTCGAGATTTTCCAGACAGCGACTATGGGATTTCAATAAAGACTGAACCTATCAATTTCTAAGTAGGTTCAATTGATAGCTTTCGTCTGAAATATATAATGAAAATGTTTTTATTTTTTCTCTCGTGCCTTATGACTGGAGATATTTGCGATGCGAAAGTTTTGATGTGTGCAACTTTTGCAACTTCGTTTTAAGAAACGACCTCATTATCGTTGGACATTCCGCGTATTCCTTATGTGTTCTTTTGATATTTTTTGCGCAAAGGACACTAGTAATATATGATCGGCGAGCGCTGCAATCTGTACGGTAGTAAAGCTCTAGATATATCAAAGTAGCGCGAAGGTCCTCCATTTTCGACTTACTAATCATATCATATATCAATGATATTAAGCGCTTATTGGACAACTAGATCGAAAATGGCGATTAAAATAGCTAATAAGAAAGTTATCGGCATTTCGACTCAGATAAAAGGATTGCGCTACTTTGGTACATCTTTATACAGTAGTATCTTGGTTGGTTCAAAACAATGGAATTGGGAAAGTTCGTCTAACAAGAGAACAATCGGAACTGTCTCTCACCGATTTTGATGAGCTTTGGATACGTTGAAGAGCATCAAAAAATATTAGATCCATTATTTATATTAGATAGATATTTTTTTATAACTGTGTATTTCAACGTTTAGGAAGTGAAACATCCTCTCGAAAATAATGGATCTTTTTGTTTTCAGCTCGAATTGGAAATTGTGCCGCATATAAAAAAATATTTTATAGTATTTTATAATCTGTATAACAGTGTGTTCACTTTTTAAAAAGTCAAATTTTTTAATTTATCTTTACCCTTTCTTATCAGGGTTGCAAAATTAAAAAAATTTTTCAGAACAGAAATTAAAGAGTATCGAATGCTGAATTCATTCATGTATATGATAATGTTGTGTTCCACGATTAAATTTTTCAGAAAACGAGATGATAATCGTGTTGCAGACGCTATGCACATTATCATCTCGTTTTCTGAAAAATTTAATCATTGAATTAGGAATATAAATATTTATTTTCTGTAAGTAAATGTTTAGTTGATACTATTCTCACTTTATATGCGCACACGCACGCACGCACGCACACGCTCACACACACACACACACACACACACACACACACACACACACACACACACAAATATATTTTTTCAGTGCGATATCTGTTTATTTTTTTCTTATATCGATATTCAACAGTGATTTATATTCTATAAGGATGAGAAGAAATCTTCCCTTGTTATTCTCCATAATGTTCATTGTGGAATATCGATTTAATTTGATTATTAACTTAATTACATATTTAATTAATAGGTTTGTATAATATACATCAGAGAGAGAGAGAGAGAGAGAGAGAGAGAGAGAGAGAGAGACGGAGATAAGTTTTATTTATATCATCTAAACACAAGGAACGCCATTTGATGGACAAAGTTAGATACTATCATCTTACTTTATTTACACTTATCTAACTTTACCATCAAATGGCGCTTCGTATTTAATTGATATACTCATATAAAACAATCTTAATTCCAATTTTATTATTATTTTATTTATATGCTAACAATCATATTATGTTAGGAAAATCATAACAAAATTTATTTATCCTTAAATTAAAATTATTCTTTCATATTGAAAGAAAATGTATTTTAAATGTAGCCATGTATTTCAAAATTTACAATAAGAAATTAAAAATATGAAGATATCTTATTAATTGCAAGAAGAAAAGTACTTTTATGTTTTTTACCTTTGCAATGGGAAATTGCATTAAGAAAATACGGAAGTTTACCTCGTTGATATTATTATAATAGAATAATTTATAATTTATAATAAGATGTGTATTTGATATCTATTTGATAAGATCAATAATTCCACTATGTCTAATCTTCCACTTACAAATTCCATTTTTGGCTCATATGCAACGAGTTCCTAAGAAATAATATCATTTAATAAAAATATAATACTGAGAATCATTGTTAACAATAATTATAGAGTCATAAGTAATTTGTAAAATAATTTGATATAAAGAATAATTATAATAATGATATAAAGAATAATTATAATTATAATTAATTCGGGTATCTTACTTTGTATTTGGAATTAATTTTCTTAGTTGTGTCCGCGCCAAAGAGATTGTATACATAGAGTAGATAAGGCATAGTAGTTCCTGTAAGTGGAAATGTAATGGGCCTTCTACAATAAGCCATTAGTCATAAATCAGAAGTTAAAAATTGACTAATCACAGTCATCAATTTTTAGCTTCTGACTTTTGATTTATGATTAATGGCTTATTGTAGAAGATCTATTAAGCGGGGAGCACAGATTCTTGCATAACGCATAAAGTATAACGCATAAAGTATAAAAAAATCAACCAATTAGAGTCCTTTATTTCACGGAAAG